ACTACTAATGAATAATTTCATTGATTACCAGAAGCAGTATAGTGAATAAATGAAATTAGTAGTCGAACTAATTAAATTAGCAGTCAAATTATTTAAAAATAATTTCTCAGTCGAATAATTAATAGACGTTTAAGTAAATTCGCATCGCTTATATTTAATTTTCTTTCGTTCTCACTATATGAGGAAATAAATTTGTTTGTTACTACTTGATACATCTACGGTTTATGGAATTTACGATGTGCATATTAAATACTTGTTATAGGTTATTTTTAATCTTTCTCATGTAGACGAAGCCGCAGGCAAAACTAGTATTATGACTGTAGTAATTTTTTTTTAATGGGTGATAATGGAATGGTAACCCCGCCCGCGCTATCGTTATACACTGGCGGGGCACCAGTGAAGGATGATAGATGAGGATGAAGTAGGTCAGTTAGCCCATTGTGACGAATTCAACAAGAATTGTTCACGATGGTTTCCAGAGGGAACCACGTGGAGGTCGACCTGATAGTGTATTGCTAGCAATGGGTTCATTAGACCCCATTACTAACAATCCCTTCCCCCCTATGACTACAGCTGTGTAGCTATTGGATTTATAATTTGACTCTTATGCAATTACACAAAACTAGTGAAACAGATTTTAATAATATTTTCTACTGATTAAAATATTTTAACAAGTTTTCACATTTATTAAATAAAAATACAAATGTTCATGACTATAAATCCTAATAGATTAGACAGAGATGTGTTCAATATTAGTAGAATAATTTAATTCTTTACCATTAATTGCCTCATACACTCGTTTACAAGTTAACTTACTACATGTTATGAAAAATCAGACAACTAATATCTGGGGGTAAACTTAGAACAACCGAAGTCAAATTCTCGACTTATTAGGGCAAATCAGTGTACTTGTCACTGCATCGAAAGAGCCTTTTATAATGAATATAATGGTAACTAAATAAATAAATTCAGCTGGCCATATTTCACCGCGCTGCCATCTAGTTCCAAACTTAGAAGAACTCGTACTATGCGTAATAGACAACTGATAGAAATACTTTTTTTTTTATAAAACACACAATTTATATTTCTTTAAAAGTCTCACATAATAATTCTTTTTTCTATTTTTCTTTGGAAATTATATGTTCAATATTCAATGTTTCTAAATTGAATCATTCCTTATCAGCCCTTATCCGTCCACTGCTGAACCGAAGCCTTCCCTTTGGGGGGTTTTGCCAGTAATTGCCACGCTTGGCAGGCGGATCTTGGGATGGGCAACAGCTTTATAGATGTTTTAAGAGGGATGCTGTTGCCCATCCCTAGCCGTTTCTTAGTCGTCTTTTACAACATCCACGGAAAGAAAGGAGTGGCCTATGTATGCTGGGACCACACGGCCAATTGAATCATTACTCCATAAGATATGAAATTATGTAAATTATCCAAAAAAAAAAAATCAACGGAAAAATTATGTACTTAAAATCAAGTACAAGGTGTTCTCTTAGTCATAAATACAATTTAGTTCATATTGAATACATAATGTACATCTGACCCTGATTTTATGAAATCGCATGATCTGTCTCATCACGCTTTGCCAAGAAGTTGCTGAATATGCAGTAATTCAAGAACATTATTTCAGTGTTGCGGTTTAATAGACAGCTGTCGTTATCACGATAATCCTGATAATTGACCTGTTTCCTATTTATAATTACATTACAACTTCATGTCAACTTTTGTAGAGTTACTTAGCTGAAAATATGTAGGAGTAAAACCTTACAGTAGGATTATTTTATCTAGCAATTATGTCCTACGACTTTGCACATACGAGTATAAATCAGTTTTTTTTTTTTAATGGGCGATAATGGAATAACCCCACCCGCGCTATCAGTATACACCGGCGGGGCACCAGTGAAGGATGACAGGTGAGGATGAAGTAGGTCAGTTAGCCCATCGTGACGAATTCAACAAGAATTATTCACGATGGTTTTTAGGGGGAATCACGTGGAGGTCGACCTAATAAGGCATATTGCTAGCAATGGGGCTGTCAAACTCCATTGCTAACAATCCCTTTCCCCCCAGTATAAATCAGTTTATATCAGTTTATAAAGTTTGTGTCAAATCTCTGTAGTCTCACCCCTGACATTTTAGTTTTTAATGTCATCTTGTCGCAACTATGTGTGTGTGTGGGGGGGGGGGAATAGGGGGAAGTGGAAAGAGATAGTAGTAAATTAGTAATGGAGTCTAAGAACCCTATTATTAGCAATATGCCCTATTAGGCCATCCTCCATGGGGTTTCTCTTGGAAACTATAGTGATTAGGTGTGATTAGATTCGTCATGATGGGCTAACTGAGCTGTTTTATTTTTCATTCTCATCTTATCTTTCACTGGTGCTTCGTCAGCGTATGCCGATGGCGCAGGCAGGGTTACCATTCTATTTTTGTCCATTAAAAATGCGATTATTTGAGAAGGGGGGGGGGAAGGGATAGTTAGTAATGGGTCAGGTCTACATCTATGCGGTTACCAAAGGTGATTTCTAAAAATAGCGCGTTTGAGTACAGAATCCGATTACTAATTTAAGCTATTTAATCTTCTTATTTACTATACCCCGATTATGGGGGAGGCCTATGTTTACTAGTGGACAATTAATGGCTGATATGATTGATGATGATGATGATATGTTGATGATAATGAATCTTCCTACTAATACCCCTTGACGGTTGACATAAGACGCTGTTATGTAACGGGGATTCACTAAGTACATTAAGCGAAATGCAAAAACAAATTCATTTATTTAAAATGAAGCGGTGTAATTGACATGGTAATTCATAACCGCAATTTATTTATATAACGTATTAAGAGCGAATTGTGAAGTGGAGTTCTGGTAAAGTTTCAATGTCGCTATAAGCTACCTACTTCATGTCATACATATCTAATTCAAAATTTGATGCTGATGATTGATGATTTTATGTTTTCCTTTTTGTACTAAATAAAATATAAAAAAAACAAACAATTAACAACAAAAAATTAATTTGAATTAATTAATATTTTTCACATATTATACCTATGACACATATTTACAACTTAACTTGTTTGTCGTTTAAAATAAATCATAAAAGTTTACAAAAAATATAAAAAAAGGCTTACTAATGAAATGTTTGCTCTTGATAAATCAAGTATTTACTGTTATAATGTTTATAAGTTCAGTGGATTAAAAGCAATTTGAAAGTAAATTCGTACGTATTTCTGAAAGTAACCGATATAATCAAATACCGTTAGTTAGATGACAACATCTTGATATCGATGCATCGGAATCTGGTTGCAAGCATATTTACGTATCTTGCAAGTATCTTTTTGTACACATATTCGGATCACAATACTCTATATGTTCTACGGACGTTGGTCATAAATCACTGATATGCAATAATAAATTGTAAAGTACTTATTAAAAAAACTATATTTTTCCGTTACACACGATTTACCGTTAAAGTTCAAACTAATAAAATGTCATCGTAAGAATCATTATTGTATAATGATTCTGAATATGAACAAAATAATTTGAATATAACGAATTCCGTTCATAGAGTTCTGAAGTATCATTCTTAAAATGGTCTCGTTTTAAAATTGGAAACGGACAACTGCAAACGGTAATTGCGTATAATAAATTTATTGAATAAATTTATTTATGGTATGAGCAAATAACTTTAAAACAGAATAAGTAAATCAATAAATGAAAAGAATCGCTAGTGGCTTGTTTGGTAAAGGTTTTCTTTTTTTTTTTACAAGTATTTTTTTTTTGCTATGCTTCCCTAGACGCTTCTATCTATCCTTGGATGACCTAATTCTGGCCATAAAAAGTGGGGATGATCATTGTAATTTTTCGTCAGAACAATAGTTTTTTTTATTGTCATTTTCGGCATGTGACAAGTGTTACCGCAGCGTATGACGTACTCTACATAAGCAAATAGCTAGATCCATCTGGTGTATGCACTTAATTTTGATTGTTTGTGATATGTTCTGCGTATTCAGCAATACGAACGTCATTTATTCAACAAACATTTACTTTATCCAAGGATTTTATTGTTTGAAGACATTATAAAATAATTTAAGTAATAAAAATAAACTATTTTGGATTTAAAATAATTTATACGGAATCACCTTATCTTTATACAGTAGAACTGCAATGTCGATACTCTAATCCAACGGTGCTTTTAAGTTATATGTCATCGTTTAATAACGAAAACGTGGAATATTTCAATAAAATAACAGAGTACGGTGGTGTAACACCTTAGTTAAGGGATTGTTAGTAATGGAGACTGAGAATCCCATTGCTAGCAATATACCCAACCAGGTCGACCTCCTCGCTGTTCTCCTTGGAAACTATTATGGTTAATTCCTGATGAATTCATCATGACGGGCTAACTGGCCTGTTTTCATTCTCATCTATCACCCTTCACTGGTGTTTGGCCAGCGTATCCCGTTAGCGCAGGCGGGGTTACCATACCATTTTCACCCATCAAAAAAGAAACCACCTTAGTCCTCTTTCAGGAACGGCAATGCGTGAGCTCTTTGGTATTGAATATGTCAATTATACATTTTTAGTATTAGATATCGTCCAAAATTTGAAACCCTCAAATAACTAGTAAGAAAGAAACACCTTCTAAGAAAAACAACATGGCATGACTTTTTAGAAAAATGCTTAGCAAATAACCTAAATAACTTTTATTTATTTCTACTGAAATTTACAGTTATAATAACTTGATGATTAAATATATATTACAACAGTAAATCTATTAAAATTTACTTCATATAGTTAATTGATATAATTTTAGAATTATATTTGTAGATTGTCATATACTAGATCCAAAAGACCTAGTAGCGTCTACCCTACTGTTAACTAATCAGTAAACAGAGAACTTTAAAAAAAATAATAACAACCAAGGTGGGGCGTCAGGCAATCAGGAGGTGCAAAACGTATCGCGCGCGCGACTTGCAACCACACATACTATTCGCTTCACCGCGAAAACACGTCGCTATAGCTCAATATAAGATCGCAAGCCAGCCGGAGTTATATTCAAACAACCTGAAATAATACAACCACCTGCAGTGCAACTAACAGTAGCTGCGGATAGACAGTACCGAAACACCTTATGCGCGCATCAAGGAACTCAAGTGACGTGACATGGTTCTCAAAAGTGATATTTGACGCGAGTTTATTTGATTGTTTGTGATATTTATTTTAATTTTTGATATTACAAAACATGCTATTTTATAGAACTTTGTGACATTCGATTTTCGTTCGGTTATACTAACGTCTCCGTTCCACAAACAAAACTTTGGTAAGTGTAACATAGTTTAAAAAAAATATAATATTAATTGAATTTAGGCATAGAAACTCCTAAACTAATAAAGTGTTTGTACTACATGGGGATCGAACCTATAACCATTGAAAAGTGAAACTTAGCTGTACATCATTATTAAAAAGGAGCTCAGCGTTGCTAAATACTATTTTTTATTTCGTTCTAAGTTTAAATATTTTTCCCCTTTCCTCCTGATTTTCTTCTTTTTCTAAACAAATACTTGTGTTCGATTTAATTACATTTCACCACCAAACCACTATGTGTACAACAAAAAACAATCGTTGTATTCATTAATTGCTATATTTCTATAGATCTCTACATTGTTACAAGGTATACAAATATCAAAGTTGTCTAAAAATTTACCTAAATTACTCCACATCTGTTTTATATTACTCGCAAAATTTCATTCTTCTAAAATTTCACGTACAAACCTAAAATTTTGAAAAAAAATGCACGCAGAAATGTAATACGGTGAAATACTTTTCTCTGTGAAAACGTTTTATATATAGATATATCTATTTTCATAGACAAGAGTTTTATTTTAAAGAAGTTATATAGAAATCGAAAAAAAAAAAATTATCTAAGTACATTTTATGTATTGCTTACTGTGGTTGTATTTTTGTATAGATTCTTCTGATAGTATCGTGGGAAAATCTTTATGTACAAACAACAGGGGCAAAATTGTATTGTATATAATTTATTTATAGTTTATATTAATATAGTTTTGCAGCCATTTTTTTGGCTTGTATAATAGGTAGGTATAATAGGTTACATATTTTTTTGCAGCGATTTTATTATTACTTTTGATTTAATAGGAAAGAGGTGAGATTTTATTAGGATGTATGTATACATGTGTGTCGCCGTGTGTGCTCCGGCATAGAATGAACCTCCCTTCCTTTTCCGTGGGTGTCGTAAGAGGCGACTAAGGCGACTAGGGGAGGGCGACGGATGGGCAGCAGCGTCCCTCTTCTCTCTTCAAACATTTCTAAAAGCCTAATTGCGGTTGTCTCGCCTGCCAAACGTGGCACCTACTGGCCAAACTCCCCTTATGGGGAAAGCTTATGTCCAGCAGTGGTCAGTTAACGGCTGAAATAATAATAATAAAATGTATAAATATATGGATGTATAATTCTCTAAAAATTTATCCTAACAATAGAAATGACGAAATGAAAAACCCGACTCGTTAAAAATCACAAGTTTTTGACAGTTTATTCTATGGCGGCATACATATTTATTTTATACTGTCATTATTCGACAAACTATGTAGAGTGTTAACTATATATGTACTATGTTGGCTATTGCGTCAAAATCACTGACAGTAGTTCTTTATTAATAGTTTAAATAGGTGTGTATACATTAGAATAACATAATTTGTCCATTGCTGAATACAAGTTTTTCCCATAAACTGTCATAAAAAACATGCTACCATTGAGGGATTATTGCCAGTAGATACCACGCTTGGCTGGCAGGTTAGCAACCGCAATTAGACTTTGGTGATGTTTTAAGAGAGACGATGCACATACCTCGTCTATTAAGTTGCCTTAATCGTCTTATATGACACCCACGGGATAGAAAGGGGTGGCCCATTCTATGTCTTTTTTTTTATTGGATGAAAATGGAGTGGTAACCCCGCCTGCGCTAATGGGATACGCTGGCGGGGCACCAGTGAAGGGTGACCGATGAGGATGAAAACAGGCCAGTTAGCCCATCATGATGAATTCATCAGGAATTAATCATGCTAGTTTTCAGGGGGAACCGCGAGGAGGTCGACCTGGTTGGATATATTGCTAGCAATGGGATTCTTAGTCACCATTACTAACAATCCCTTTCCCCCCGCCCATTCTATGTTGGAGCCACAAAGTTGTTAGTAAATATGAATATATAACGTCAAAAGCAAAACACTGTAGAATAAATTATGTAAACATAAAATAAACACAAATTGTTCATAAAATAATAGGAATATGTTATTGTACCTTTATGTGGTTTTATACAGTATATAATTTATTCCTTGATATTTTTATTACAATTCTAAGATCACATTTATAAAAGATTTACTATGTATTGTTCATACGCGATGATTTGCTTTAATATTATTTTTATATATAAATAATTTTATTCAAATCACGTTACCGTTAATGCCTACTTTACAATGTAGAAACATTATTTATGGAATACTCTATATCTCGTATTTTAATTGTAAATATAGCCGGATCGTCTTACGCGTATTTTTATTGAGAATGCTTGGCTAATTTATTATAATTAGCCATCCGGTTATTTTTACAATTATTTTTATAATAATTAGTGTGTATTCTTTTTTAAAAGGCCGGCAAAATAGCTGCAATTCGTCTGTAGTTGTGGGAGTCCATGGACGGCAATAGTTATGTTGTCGGTACTATAAGGTGGGCCGTGTACCTGTTTGTCCTCTTTGTTATAAAAAAAAATGTTTATTTATTCTACTTTTAACATTAAAACATTATTATATTTATGGCTTTTACCCGCGACTTTGTTCGCGTGACAGGGACATGTTCTTATGTCACATATTACATGAATACCACACAGATGTGACAAGCAAACAAACAATCCCACTTTCACATTTATTTTTGGGATAAATAATTAGAATTAAATATTTGGAATATAAGAAATAAAGAAATAAGTTTACGACTATAATCCCTAATGGGGTTGGCACAGATATTTGTCAATTGTTATATTTATGATGAACTCTAGGCATGTCTAATACTTTTAAGAATGGAAGGAACTGTAATTTAAGACAATATTACTAGCTTTTACCCGCGACTTCGTTCGCGTGACCGGGATATGTTTACTGACCGGGATAAAAAATTTGTCTATAATCTTTCTTCATTCCATACAGTACGTGTATACCATAAATCGCTATAGGGTTACAAACAAACCTACTTTTATATTTATAATATCAGTAAGGATTAAGTAATGCTTTTCAGTTATATATAGGGAAGGCGTGAGAATGTGAGACCTTCATTATCATGACTCACAAAACTTGTATAGCTAGTTCAATTTTGAATAGCGTGTAATTTTTCATTTTAGTCTAAACTCTCTGATTGTCGTAATTACTATAATAATATGTTGAACTCGTCAATATGCCCGGCGATTCAAATAGATTCCGTTTATATTGAGTACCACTGATTAAAGGCGTCACGATATTTTTAGTGGTGATACATTGTATTTTTATTTACTCCTCCATACTCCATTTAAATTTTTCTTTCTCAACAATAATTTTGTATAATTAAGGTAGAGCAGATAGAGTAGTAGAAAGTAAGCTTTTCTGCTTTATACTTATTATACCTACTAATGTACTAAAAATATATATATATATATATATATATATATATATATATATATATATATATATATGCACACCATTTTTTTTAGGTATATAATATAATTTATAATAAAATATTCTAAAATATAATTATTTTAAAATATTCACTTAAATATTTATTTTTATTTCAGTCCATCACCATACATTACAGTCCATTAGCGATATATTGAGCCGGTGTTTGTTAAGTAAGACAAATAATAATATCGCTTAAAATTATCGTAGATTGTTCTAAACAAAATGCAGGAAATTTAAAATTTTATACACGAATTTTATAATGAAAACCCCTTAATAGAATAAAAATACGAAACGATATGCGAATGGTACGGTCGTGTCATTATTTAAATATGTTTAATTGGCATATACATAGTTGTAGTGCATCAACAACAAGGGGATTCGCGCCAAACAGTCTACGTTCATAGATCATTTAATTATTTGAAATCTGATTAGGCATGTCAATTCATACATTTTGCACTTTTCCAATAGTGTCATTGCTAATGAATGAATGAATTGAATGAATAAATGCATTTTGGTACAAATTACGTTGTACAAATTGACGTCATTTTATGGATGAACGTCAATTTGTAACAAATGATTTAAGAGAAATAATAATGATGCATGAAATTGTTTTTACTGAACTACGTAAAGAGGTTTCATTTCGAGTGCATTTTTTTGTTTATATCTATTTTACGCGATATCTTTGCCAATTTCCTTTCGTTTTTGATTTTTTAATCAATCGATACATTTTTATCTTGTTTTTATTACTCGTATTAAATATGTACCTATATATACCTCTTATATATATATATATATATATATATATATATATATATATATATATATATATAATACATAAAAAGCAGATATCAAATAAATATATTTGAGATTAATTTGGTCGCATTTTTGCAGGTTTTTGCCTGGAATACTTCATCATTTAATACTAAAATTATCGTTCTATAGATGATTGAATTTCTTATTGGTTCCATTAGAACAAATCATGCCACACTAATCTCATAGATTTATTTTTAATTTTAAGGTGAAAATTTTCTTAAAAGGGTTTATTGTTTTGTTTTAATATTTTATATAATTTATGTATAACTACAATAATTTATTATTATAACGTTAGTTCTAATTAATAGGTTTTACTAAATCAACTTTACGAGGAGTTTAATATAGGATCCGTTTAATATAGGATCATTTGGGAGTGTTTAAAAATACTTAAATTTAATAAAGATTTATTATCGCTTGAATACAATAGCCATTAATACAATAGGTACACCTTTATAAGTACAGTAAAGTGGTCTAGCTATAGCTAAAAGCATTTTTTCATGACAACCTTAGAGTAATAAATTTAATAGTTAAACGGGTAGACATGCAAATAAAGGAATTTAAAAATAATAAACAAAGGAATATAAATATAATTTTTATTTAAAATTATTTATTTGTAAAACATGCAAATAAATACTCGTAAATAACAGAAATAATTTAGTTCGGCACCACTAAGCAATAAAATTTATTATTTATTAATTCTATTGTATTTTTTAATAATGTTATTAGGTAGTTGCAGTTAATTTTCTTGTACTTGTATTTTTTTTTTGCACTAAAAAGGTTATATTAGTATATATAA